GGACTGTGCTCCTTACCGCCTCTCCCAGGACTCTCTATCCTTGATACTCCTCACACTGCTCCTGGCTGTATCACTGGTGCCCACATGAAACAACAGCAGCAGATAATAGTAAGTGGACTGTAGGAGGCTTGGTATCCCACTATAATTTATGGTCCTTGACAACATAACTTAGGAACTTCTGGAAATCCCATTACAACTGTCTGAATGGATGTGACATTCTAAGGGAAACAGAGATGGAGAGAAAAGGAATTGTAAATGTTTCCCTTAACTTAGAAGAATTAAGATCTTTTTAATGGAACACTAAGAGTACAGATATTTTTGCCCCAGTGCCTCCCATTCTCCTTCCAAACATAATTTTAAGACAGAAAAACACCATTTGGTAGGAAGAATACATATGAAGCATGTTCACCTCCCCACTTCCCCATATAGTAGATTCTCCACAGGCCTCCGTGTTACACCAGGCACAGGGACTCTAGTCGGTACTTTTAAGAGCTCCTTAGTGATCCGCCCAAGTTGGTGCCTATTGCATAAAAAGTGATTGTCCCGGATCTGAACATCTGTGGGCGCCAGGTGCTCATGGTACATCTGCCTGTGCTGCCTTCCACCCAGAATGGTTCGAATCTGCCTTAGGCACCTGCTGAGACCAAGGCTTTCAGATCCCTGCTCATGGGCATGACGGACGGGGGCAGATAAGGGAACAGATGGGTCTTGAAACATCTCCAGAAAGAGGAAAGGCACTCTTCTGTGACCTACTAAGGAAACACACTGCAAAGTCAAGACGCCTTGAGAGAGACTATTTTGCCAGTGGTTCGAGACAAATCGCAAATGACTGCTGACCTCAACAGGGTTGGAGGGGTTTCTTCCTCCTCTGGAAAATACTCGGTGCCTTGAAGCGTCTTTTATGTATTGCCAGCTAGAGCTGAACCAAATCAATTTTCTATCCTCTCAAAAATGAACAGTGAGGTAGAGACAGAAAACCAGCAGTCCATGTAGAGTTAAAAAATTTGCCTTTTTCCTTGTAGGAAAAAAAGGTTTTATGGTGAATTGTGTAGGAGTAGAGAGCACATGACTCATGATTCATTATTGTAGTGCAGCAGGGAGGCAG